GACCAAGAATAGATCCCTGTGGCATCTCATTAACACCATCATGTCTCTTATAACCAATTAAGTCATGCAATTAAACTAGACATATGACAGCTTTGAATCATGCTGTACTTTCGCCAGACTGCCAACTGGATCTACAGCTGCACATTGTCCTCATCTCGTCCCTTGTTTCCTGCCTGGTTTTGATGCTTCCATGTTATTAACTAGCAAGATGATTCTGATCTATAAATAGAAAAGCGTCTGCTCCATCAGAGACTAAAGTGTATATCGTGGTGATCTGCAGGAAGGCCCTGAAGCAGACGGACAGACGGAGCTGACAGCTGACTGGGCGGCTGTCAACTAAATGAGAGGGGAGGGAGGGAGGGAGGGGTGGAGAGATAGAGCAAGGTGGATGATGATAGTGACAGGTAGACAAGAAAGAGAGAGAGAGGAGGAGAATATAAGGCAGGCAGAGAAGGAAAGAAAGCAAAGAAAGAGCCTATCTTTGAATATTTTGCAGATAAGCATCTTGTCTTTCTCTCTCTCCACCTTTCAACACCTCTTTTTCAGTTACTTGTCATCAGTGTCATCTGCCAAATATTCCAGGTACTTCAGATGTGGCAGAAAAACAAATATAAGTGCTATAAAGAAATATCTAGCTCCTGATTTGTTGAGTTTAGTTCCTATAGTTTGAACAGTTTGAAAAGTCCCATCAGTGCTTGTCTGGCTGGAACAGGCTGATTCCAGCTTTTTACTTTGGATCAATCTCTCACTTTGTGGAGCAGGTTTCTGAGCAGAGTGTAACAGCAGGATTCATTTTGAAAAATCCTCTCTGCTTCTGTGCGGGGTTGGACTCCCTGCTGAACTGACTCCACCTGACAAGCAGTTATTTTTCCTGAAACCATCTCAGCTTTAACAAACACCTCTGCTGCTCCGTCTCATCTCATGTTTCTAGTTTTTGGTCCAATAAACCTGCAGCAGTCAGGTCTGGACGAAACAGGTTGTGCTGTTAAATATTCATCACTTCATTAACAGGTCAATTTTTATTGGTTCTCACAGGGGATGTCTGAACATTTATAATGAAGTTTAATTTTCTGAGCTCACTGCGGTGTTGTTACTGTTACATTTTACGACTGAAGGCCTTGGTTTTAGATGGAAATCTACAAGCAGGGGATTGATTACCACCCCCCCCCCACATGGATCTATTATTAAATGACACTCTCCTCCGCTGACAAGCACAAGGGACGGCTTTCTCATTTTGTCCTCTGCCTTCGTAACTCGAGCCGTGGTGTTAAAAGATCTGCCGGGGCGGTGTCAGATGCCCCCCCACCCCCACTCCCCCTCAGGCCTCCAGCTCAGCTCCTGATCAATGGCAGCTCACATTTCACGTGGGAACACCTGTCGGCTAGTGTGGCAGAGAGGGGGAGACGCGACGAGCCGTTCTTGCCCTGAAGACTCTGAGAGTGCTCGCTCTGCTGCGACACTTTCATTTTTTAATGTCGCACACAGATGCACAACTGACGTCAGACAGTTACAGATGAAATACAATTTCCACTTTTGCAAAAGGGAAGAACTTCAATTTAAAGTCTGGATACTGAAAACTGTGCAAGAAAATATCACTTTTAGTCATATTTATCCATCTTAGTTCAGCTTGTTGCCTTCCTAGCAACAATAACATACAATTTGATGTCTCCATTTCTCTGTCTACAACCTACAATATGAGGATATTGTGGTTCAGCTTGGTGGCAGAGCCAACTGGGATCAATCCACGGGTAGTCTGCTCTCTTCACCAAAAGCCGTGTCTCGACTTAAACTGATAAGCTCAACACATGTGTGAGACACTGAGATTAGAGGTTTGTGGTGCTCCAGATAAAAAGAGGAGGCTGTGTCGGACAAGCAGTACTGAAGAAATGAATGAAGTCAGTGTAACAAGGTGAGGAAATCAGAACAAAGACCACACCTTGTTCTTCAGTCACTATCCTGTAGGTGTGTCTAAACTCTTTTCTTTTCCACTTGTATCACTTCTCACATCCCACCCACTGAATCCTTTTCTCTCGCTTCTTTGCTTCCTCCTCTCTCATTACAGAAACCACAGGGGGGTGGGGGTGAGGGTGGGGTGGGGTGGGGTGCAATGATCCCTCAAGTCTCACTCCCTGGGCTCCTCACCATGACGTCCTTCCAGTCATCGATCCCATCCTGCGCTATCATGTCTGCCTAATTTCAAGCATGGGTCTTTGTGAGTGAAGTAATTTAACGCTTTGAATTCGACTCGTATTCGTAAGATTTCACACAATAGTTAAATGGATTTGAGCAGATAAAAGCCACATTATGAAGAGGAAACAATGAAAGCCTTGTTTGCTAAATGAGGATTTTAAAGCCACTACAGGAATGTTTTATTGAGTAAGAAGAATTATATAATATGGGCTGTTTCTTTTTCTGCTGAGGAGAAGATTTGGTCATTTAAGCCTGGGTGACACACTGGATCTCGTTCTTGCAGCCTGAAGACAATTCACTGCTCTGCAGGGGGGAAAGTGTCGCAGGACACACACACATTCACACACACACACAGCCCAAAGTGATTCCTAACAGGTGAAGCAGCGCAACAGATGGAGCACTGACTTTTTTACAACAGGAGACAAGACGTGTTCCTGGATGTAAAATTTAGGTGAGGTACTAAACTGCTCCTTTAAAAAAACTGACTGAAATCAAAAGAAGAGGCGTTCAATGTCAAGTTAGCCCAGTTCACCTGCCAGAGCCTCTGACGGCTCGTGAGATGAGGAAATTCCAGATGAGTGATCATCTGTCAAACAGCCGACAATTACAGGTGTTACGTTGAAGTTTGTTTCTCAGCTGATTTGTGTTTCGCCCTACGTTAACCTGACCCCAGATTCTGCAACACCCAACCACACAGGGAAATGGGACGAGACAGAAACAGATCTGTGTCAGCGAACGTCACGATGAGGAGCTCAAAACCAGTCAGGGTTCAAAATCTGTTCTTCTGTAGCTGCGTTCAGCCTGGAAACATCATATGACTGAATGAATAAATTTCATGTATTCCATGTATCGGTCTAACACTTGCATGTGTTGTAAACTTTATACTATGTGGACAAACTGTTCCCAGGAGGGTCAAATTTCTACATCGTCATAGGTGATGAAAATGTTTTTAGCTTTAAGAAAATTGCTGGACTTCAATAAAGACCATTGAAATGTGTCCTTGTTTCACTTTCTAGCTAATGTTAAAAAAAATGGAGCTCAATGGAGTTAAGGATGAAGCCCAGTTTAGAGATAGAAAAGCCCAGGAGCTCTTTGTGCATGCAGCAAGTCAAGGAGCCTCAGCAGGAGTTCAAGGTAGCCTCCAGAATAAAAGCCTTTTAAGAAACATAAAAGCATGGCTCCTTCACTGTGGAGTTCAGTCAGATTATGGTGGAGGTCACATGACTTTACAGCAAAACAGGAGAAGGTAGTTTCAGGTGCGTTGCTTTGAATAAAAGTGTGAGGTAAAAAATAAATAAAAGCACGGACAGCAAAATGAGTGACTCTCCTTTACCTTAACAGCTGCTGTCAAAGTCCCATTTAGCCAGGCACTTTACCCCCAGCTGCTCCGGCAGCCGCCAGCTGAAACCTGCAGCCGCCCCCGAGCACGTCGCTGTGACAAAAGTGCGTGCACGCTTCATCAACTCTGCCTGGATAAACACCACTTGGAAAATGTACTTTGCTAAAGTACTTTTTGAATAATGGCGTCTAGCGAGGGAAACATCTCGGGACTATTTTGGCTCCCCCAGGGTGTCGGCGCTGTCGGAGTAGAAAAACACATCGAGGCCTGCATGCGTGCGCATGACAGAGCTGTTTTTACTCAAACTGCAGCGAAAACAACTGCCCCCCCCCCACCCCCACCCACGCCCTTTATTTTTCATGTGATGGCTGTTCCTGCTGTGAGCCACCTCAGGCTACAAGACAAGTTGCTTAGCATTCATGTGACTGAGCGTGAGGAAAAATCCTCCCACTTCACACTCAGGTTTTGTCATCTTGGGGGCTGACAACCTTTTTGGGAAACCCACGGGATTCCTGTGGGATTCCCATGGGATCACATGACTGGGACGGTACAGGAAAAGAAGATATGCAGTTCTAATATGAATAAATGCTATTTTGAACTTAACACTAGTCGTTCAGTTGTCTTTTTATTCACTGGTGGCAGGTTACTGGTTGCTTGCAGGCAGCCACCTGCAGGGACGGGATGGGAGTGAAAATCCACCCTTTATGTGACACTGTCTGACTGCAGCACACACTGAAGTGGAAAGAAATCATGCAGCTGATGCTCTAATCAATCAGACAGCGAGCGACTCTAACTGTTTAGGAAATTAGATTTTTGTTATTTTCAGCTTCAACAAAGCTTAACTAATGATGCAGCAACCAGCTGAGCGACAGTGATGGAAGTCGCCTCTTGCTCATAATGTTCATCATTTAAGCTGCTGCAGCAGTGTTATGGTAATGCAGGACATTTTGCTTTGAATGTTATTTCAGCAATAGCCTGTAACAGTTGGAGGATACAGGAGGATGGCACCATTATTTCTCTGCTCAAGGAAAATTCAGTGATTGTGAACTCACTACTCTTACCCAAAAGATTATGCAGTTGTCATTTATCAAACATAAATGCAAATGATTCTCTTCTAGCAGTTTCTCAAATGTGATAATTTGCTGGTTTGGATGTTTTTTTATATTATTATAAATGGTTTATTTTCAGGTTAAGGACTGATGGAGTAATTTAAAGATGTCATCTTGAGCTTTGAGTGCTCTTTCCCTCTTTCTTCCAGCATTTCATAGCCAAAAGTCTAAATGTCAAAACTCCATTAAAGTATACAGGAGGTACTATATAGAGATTTAGGTAAATGTCACTCTACAAGATCAAACTTTAAGGCTTCTGTCGAGTCTGTTGGGATGTTTGTGACTTATAAAAATGGAAAAGTAAAAGTATAACAACTCTCACACATCACAGCCGTGTTATTCACACTTTCTGTTTGTCTTACCAGCATTAGTTCCCTCTGGAAGGACTTCCTCTCCTTGTTCTCCATATTGGTACACTCCTCTTTGAGTTTCTCCAGAACCGACGCCACCTTCTCCGGCTCGTTGTCCAGCTCGGTCCGGCAAAAGTAATTCAACGGCAAATTCCCATACCCCAGGGCATCTGCAAACGCCCTCCAGTTTCCCACATTCTCCATTAAAACCGTCCTCACGGTTGCGTAGATGTACGTAAGGAATTTGCAAGGCTTCAGGATCTGCTCCAGCAGCATGGTGGTCGTTAGGTCCGGCCCACACCAATAAATGGGCTTGACCTTACCCAGAACCAAAACGTTCTTCGCATGGACAAGCCCCATCTTCCCCTGATAGTATCCAATGTACCACTCTTTGGTCCGCAGCTGCCCTCGCAGTTTGATTTTCTCCTCGCTTAGCAAAGCAATAACATCACCCTTCTTGTACTCCAACAAATAGGTGCTCTTGTGCTGCCTGATCACCGTTTTGATCAATTTACCAAATTTCAGGTTGGTAATGCACCGGTCCTGAAACTTTGGGTATTTGGAGGTGACAGCCAGCGGTGAGAGGACAATCTTATCCACCTCTTTCTTCTTCAAGAACCTCCTCTGACCTGTTATCCTCGCTCCGGTCTTTGGCGGAGGCTGTGGAGTTTGGACACAGAACTGGGTGAGGATACAGTCGAGGGCGTCCTTGACTTGGACCCTGAGAGTGAAGTCTGAGATGCTGTTGGGGTTGTGTGATGTTATCATGTACAGGAGCCTGCTGACCTTCCCCAGTTTGACCTGAAATCCCCTAATCACCCCGGTGCCCTCGCTTGCCTTCACCTGGTAGTTGGACATGTTAGAGTACAATCCCACGCGAAGGTCCTGAGGGTGTCCCAGTATGAACTGGTGCTTCCCCCACAGCTGGAGGGCCACCGGTGGAGTTGACGTAGCCTGCCGACCCACTTCGCTTACCAACAAGGTCTTAGGGGCACAGTCATGCCCAAACATGGCCACAACTGTCTTGAAGGAAGGGTGGATGTGCTTGGGTCCATAGACACCCAAAGTCACGTTCCTTTGCACATGGTCCCAAACAGTCGTATTGTGGCTGATGCACTGAGACTGAACCACAACGGCCAGATACATGCAGGGCTCTAGACTGTCCAACTGCACCTGGACTGTATCTTTATAAATGTAAGCATTAGGGATCGGTATGTAAGGCCCCTCTTTGCAATCGCTGCGAACACAAAGCACTTCAGCAGTGTGACAGGTCTCTTTCTTCATAGTTACTGATACCTTCATCTCCAGCGTGATGAAGGACTTGGTCTCCATGTTGTTGAGCTTTATCTCCACCACGGGGCTCACGGTGGAGCAGTGGTCTGTGTTGAGCTCCAGTGGGGGGTCCAGTAAGGCTTTCAAGGAGATCTGCTGGTAGTCTCCATGGCTGACGTGGCCCTCGGGGATGTGTACGCTGATATTGGTGTCTGGAAGCTGAACTACCCCTCCATTACTGTCCAACCTGCACACTATGTTGGTCTCCACCGGCTGTGTCTGGCCCCACCCAGGACTCTGGCCCAAGGAGTCGAGGTCATGGCAAGACCTGGCTAGCTTTCTGTGGTTCAACCAAGCAGTCCTAAAGTCCTCCCTGCTCTGAAACTGCTCCGGTGAGGGAGCCTTAAGGCCCGTGAAGAATCCCGAAGAAGGTAAGGTTGGATTAGATTGCGCCTGCAGAACAGACAGCTCTGACAGACTATGGGAACGTTTACTCCTGAAAAATGGATTATCCCTGTGGACGTTAGGGACAACCTCTTGGTTTGGGCAGGTGGGGGTGGTATTGTTAATATGGTAGCTGCTGAACCCATTGGTCATGATAGTGCTAGTGTTAAAGTTGGAGCAGGATGATGGAGATGCAAGAGCGTCAAACAGAATAAGGTCAGCTGAGTTCCTTACACCAATGTCTTTGCAGTTTTGATCTAATGGACAGATAAAGGGGTTCACAGAGAAGGGGCTGTTGTTATACATTGGGGAGGGCTTCAGGGTCATCCCTGTCCACTCCCCTAAACCTCCAAACTCCTTTGACCCTTCCTCGTATCCCTCCCCGAGACTGTCGATCATCCCACTGTCGCTAAGCGATGAGTTCCTGAAGTTGACCGGCTGGACGTAGGCGGCTGGGATGTAGCCCATTTCCGTGTTGTTGTGGGCGTACCACCACTCTCCACCTGATGTGTCCAGCACATAGAGGCGATCACCTTTGGAGAATTTCAGCGTGGTGAAGCTGCTGGGACAATAATCCTTTATGGCGACAACTTCCTGTGCAGCTCCGTAGGAGGAGGAAGTGTCCAGCCTTAAGGCACTGGGAGAAGGCACTGGAAAGGAAACAGATATTAGACCAAGTGTTTTGTAACTGGTTTGGACCTATTTTAGACTTTTTTATTTTAGACTATTACTAAAAATACTGCAGTTACCTCATATTCTTACACAGATATAATGGGCCACTTCAACTAATGACCAGACATAAAGGTTGTTGATCAAATGGTTCAGTGGTTTTTGAGGGACTCTGAATCCTTGATTGCATAACCAAAACCTTATTTCTGATCATCTGGACGCACCTACAACATTTTCAGATCACGACTTAAATGTATGAGCAGATCAGCTGCATAATTTACTGCATGATTTACTATTTTTAGTTCACCTCATTAGCGTATATAGAGCATGTAAACAAAGCTGTAATGGAGTGCAACCAGTGAAATGGAGGAGCAAAAAAATTAATGTTTCCAACATATGACTGAATAACTTATTTGCAAAATATGAAAAGCAAAAAATTAAAACAAACAAGTATAAAGTGATGAACAAATAAACAAATTTAAATGACTCAAAACTGAAATAATTAAGGCTTTAACAACTTAAAATGTGGCAACATCTGACTGAAACACTGACCTTTGACATCGCTGAGACTGGCCCCGGTGACCCCTTCACTGAGGTCGATGAGTGTCCCCTCAGACTTACAGCGAGGGAGGATGTGGTTGTTGTTCGTCACTCTGATGATTCGATGGGCAGCCATCGTAAACGTTTGCTCACTGGCAGCTTTTCATCTGGATGGGAAATAAACACATAAAGCATTTAACATGGGCGCGACCAGCCAATTTAAAACACATCTGCATTCAGGCGTATAGCCGACACTTGAATATGAAGCAAATTCCTGAAGCAACGCTGGAGCGGGAAGCTTAATTTTCTAGATCAGTAGCACAGTTAACGGCAACAAAGGTCAGAGCACAGCAGCAGAAAATAAGGTTGACAAATATCACTGCTTTTTTGAAGTAACTGAGTATGAAGGATGTGCTGTGGGAAGAAATGAGCTCCCAGCTGAGCAGGAAGAAGGTTTTTTTCCAAATTGATGTAAAGAACATAAGATGGGAACTCAGAGGGGAAGGGTAAGAGAAATCGAAAAGCAATAATGAAACCAAAAGAGATTCAAGTTTTGAGCGAAAGTGACAATAAAGAAGCGAGCACACTTTTCAAAGACTGACATTTTGGCCATGCTTTTTTGCAGCAAATAATAGAATGTGGGAAAATGTGTGCATGCTATACGAATGCTGACCAGTGTGACTATATTCAGAAACTAAGCCTCTTATCTGACCTTAAACGGTTTTGCCAAAAACTTATCTGTTATATTCTCCCATCCAAAACTAAATAAGTAGAACAAACTGCCTTGAAAAATACATTTGCAAATACACTACGTGGCCAAAAGTATATGGACACCCACTCTTCCACTCTTCTGGTTTCAGTCTTTCCACTAGTTGCTACAGGGATTTAGTCTAGCACTGATGTTGGGTGGAAGGGCCTGGCTTCCAACTGGCATTAAAGCTGCATCATAACAACATTTTCAATGGCAAAGTTGTGCTATAAAATCATTTAATTTCAATGAAAGTCCATCAGTCAGTAGATTTGCTTAATTTAACAGTCTTTAACATACAGTATGTCTTTAAAATAAACCGCGTGAGCTTCCTGTCCAGTTAGCTAACAAGCTAATTAGCAAGCTCAGCTTTATTCACTCTCTAATAACTCTTTAATGAATGTCATGATGTGCAGTCCTGAATATAAAACACCAGGGGCAACTAAACTGAGCTGTTGTGGCTGACTTAGCGCTACTATTTCTCAGCTAGCGACTTAGCAGCTATCTTAGTAGCTACAGTAGTTTAGCAGCTAGCCCTGTGAGTAGTGCATATGTGACCAAGCTGCTAGATGCAAATATCTTTCAAAAAACTTGCAGGTTAATTTTGCTGCACGAAAGTGGGAAAACTATTTCTTTATGGAGCTTGCTTTGTGAAAACAGTCTTCCCAAACTGTTGGCAGTGCACTATTATCTAAAATATAATTGCATGCTGTAGAAATACTTTATATTTAGAGGAATCCTGCATATCAGCGTCTCTCCCTCCTCTGGCTGTACTGCTCTGCGTTTTGAGTATTTACGTCTCTGATTTTATCGACCAAGTTACCAATTTCCTTGTCAGAGTTGAGCTGTGATTCAATTTGTGTATGAAAACACAAAGTCAGCAGAGGACTGTAATCTGATTAGAGAGGCAGCGAGAAATTGTTTTGCAGCAAAACGTTCCCTTCAGTCACAAGACGCTTTATTATTCCTACAGGATGTGGCGAGTGGCGGCGGCAGTGGGAACATTTGCATCCGCACACTAATGATGCCATTTTAATCTGATTAAAGCAGCACAGACTGTAGAGGCTGCCGTGTAAATGCCTTTCACTGATTATCTTCATTAGAGCTTTAATGTTTGGAGCTGAGTTTCTGCTCAGAGTTTTCACGTTAAACACAAAGTATTTTCATTCATATGCACTTTGTGCCAGCTTCTTCTGTTTTCAGTCAAAACTGAAGAAAATCACACAGCAAATTAGCTTTTATTAGCCAGATTTGATATCAATTATTCAGAGTCCCCCAGGAATGAATACAGATGTTTTTGTCTCCTCATACAGCTGATATGTCTCGGAACAGCTGGTCAGAACTTCCTGTCTCTACACGCATCAATGCAAAACAACCCAAATGAACTACAATATGAAAAATAATTTGCTATACTGTGAAGAGTCCCATGAGATCTCATTATGTTACTTCTTATCGAACAAAAAAATAAACCTGACTGTTATTAAAATCTGCTATTATGCACACCACTATAGTCATGACCATTCTCCTAACCCAAAGCCAAAGAAAGCTAGTGTTAATTCAAAGCAACTAACTCAGGTTTTCGAGGGTTAAAGATCAATTTTCTGCAGAATGTTTTAAACTGTGCTCTGCAGAATATTCCCATTTATTAGCTCTATTCAAAGCAAGCTTATGAGGGTCCCCCAAGGACATTTCTATCTAATGAGATAAAAAAAAATTCATTCCTTCTTCTTCCTTCGGTCTTTTAACAGCAGCAAAATTATCAAGTAGACAGTGCATCACCACCATAAAATTAAAATTAAGTGAAACTTGATACCACAGGAGGCAAAGAAGACATCAGGCTGTTTACACATTGTAAAAATCTGTGTTTACACATAGCAGGAATCAGATTTCTCCGCTTTTTAGTCAGCTTTGCATTAAATCATGTTAAATATGACTGCAAAAATGCAGATATTCTCATATGACTGTAAGAAATCACCTTTCCCCAGGAGGAGTCTGGTTTACTCCAATCCCTTTTTTTACTAACGTGACACTGAAAAAATCGGGTTACTGTACAAATTCCAGTGCACTGAATGATTTATCACCATACTATCACAACACTCTGTATCTGTATCTACTTTTATCTTATGCTTTAAAACTCATACTTTTTCAAAAACAATGAAAACTTTTACTGCTACTCCAGTTGAGTCCCAACACTTTTTCAACTCTCCAATGAGCCACTACAGCCTTTATTCAAACCTCTGCAGCTGAGCACTGAGCAGATACTGTACGTTCACACTTTAGTCTCTCGTGCTTCGAAATGAAAAATACTGGAAATTGGAACTGTTTCAGAGCAGCTCCTCGTGGGAAGCTGAGTGAAACTGTAGCCGAGGAACGAAAGGAAAGTTAGGCTTGTTTAATGGCTGCATCTGTTCACATGGGAGCTGATGCTGAAAGCCAGGCAAACTCCTCTCCGAGCGTGTGGCCCGTCGATAAAAACCCCCTCCTCCCACTCCAAAGTGAGCACTCAGCGGGCAGCGATCAATAACACGCCGGCTGACAAAGACACTGTCACCTACTTTGATATAACACTGAGGTGATCCCCGGTAAATGCAGCAGGATGTGAGAACGACTCTGAGTGAGAGGAATTGGAAGCAGCTGTTCCCTGCGATGGGAAACGCAGCAGGAGGCTCAGTTCAGAACAAACTGGATTCCTCCGAACGACCCCTGCAGATCCACTGCAAGACGAAACCCTTTGTTACAACACAAAAACATCCAGGACCTGAGGGAAGAAAATGACACGAGCCAGAATGAAAACACAAAGTTAAACAGTTCTGTGAACACTCTGCATGTGGCCATGTCTGCAAAAAAATGAGACTTTCACAGGCAGGATTCTGCACATTCTTAAGATACTGGATAATACCACAAAGAATATACAGCATTTGGGGAAATTAACTTTTGTTGTACTTCACATCAGCAGAGAAATTTCAATTAAAGAGGGAGAGGAAACTCTGAAAAAAGGAGCTTCCAGGGGATCAGCAGCAAACTGCTGGAGGGCTTGTGGGTTAGCCATCCTCAAAACTGGAGACAGGGATATTTTTTTACGCCACTGGTGCATTCATATCTGAGTCTGTGAAATTATTAACTCATTTCAGTCAGGCTGACAGAGTGATGAAGCGGCGAGGACGCCGGGGAGTCGAAAGTTTAATTAGCCGCGAGTCGGCCGGCCCTAATCCCCGGATGAATGTTGCTATAATAACCATTCGCAGCAGCCGTATGCAGAGTTTATCGCCTCGCCATCACAGCTGTTTAAAATGAGACGATAACAGGATGGAGCACCAGACACAGCAGCGCAGACCTGTTAATGTGTGGCTGGAAACCAACATCTATCATGTCAAACATTGTACTTAATGTAATATTTATATTTAAGTCTCCTTAGATTTTCATATAACTAGAGTCCCAGCCTCACGCTCGTATCCCTCCGCCAACCAGCAAAGTTGCAGCAAATATCGACACAATCTCCTTCATGAGTTTCAGCATGAGTGTTTTTGCAGAACCTTATGATGTCACAGTGAAGCTGACCTTTGACCTTTTGGATATAAAACGTCATCACTTCATTTTATCCTTATAGACATTTGAGTTAAACTGTGTCATAACTGGTGGATGAATTTGTGTGTTATGGCCAAGATGTGTTTTGTGAGGTCACAGTGACCTTTGACCTTTTTCTACCAAACTCTAATCAGTTCATCCTTGAGTCCGAGTGAATGTTTGTACCAAATTTGAAAAAAATTCCCTCAAGGCGTTACTGAGATATTGTGTTCACAAGAATGAGACGGAAAGACAAGCAGAAAACATAATGGCCAACGCGGAGGTGTTCCTTTTCACTCTGGTTTAGGCTGCAGATGATAAAACCTCCAAAATCTGATTCCTCTATTTACTGTATAATGTGAGTTTCTGCTTATTGATTATCTAGGTCTACACAGACTCTTTCTTTCTCTTTCTCGTTTTAAACGAGATTGTTCAACTGGTTTCACTGCAGCTTCTCAGATTCCTTCTCTACATTTCCTGCTTGTGTCTTTGAACCAAAGTAAAAACCATCAAAACGCACCTTCTGCTTGGCTCCGTTAAAGGTCAGCTCTCTCATCTATACTGCAGGAAACTGAGCGCAGCCACTTTGGGTTTAATTCAGTCCTGACCTCAAGAACAGAAACACATTCTGGTGGAATCAGGTGCCTAACTGGCTGCTCTGCTGTGGCCTGCGGCGATGCAGCTCTGTTCCCAGCATGCACCAGGGTGTGTGTTTACACCTGCGATGGAGTGGCAGCAGAAATGAACAGGAGCTGAGGGAAAAAAATGTCCTTGGAAGTTTGTCTGTGCGGAGAAAGTCCTCGGCCACTATTACTAGTTTCATCTTTTATGTCTGTTGAGTCCTTTTAATCTTGCATGAGTTGAGAACTACTGTCCCCTGTGGGCCACCGTAGGTGAGGAGAAACATGTGGATGTTTTATGATAAAGCAAATCTCAGTGTTTGCTTGTTAAGGTGGATTCATTGGAAAACCCTTCAGGAAACTGATTCTATCAATGATTTACTACTCTGCTTTACACAGATAGAAAAATCATGGCCATAGACCTCCACTGAATCTATCGCCACTGTAAAATATGAGGGGATGCATCCAGCTGTTATTTGACTGCTTGGGGGTGAGACCACAGCAGAGTGTGATGGTGAAGCTCCTCTTTGCTCCTCTCTTCACGAATCATCAGATCATTGATGCAGCTTTGAGGCAGGAGATATGTAATAAATCAAAGATCAGCTGTCACTTTTTCTTCTCTGAAATGTACGATACGACGTCATTAACTTGCATTTATTTAGGGCTTCCTGCAACATATATGGAAATAATTGATGTTTTTCCTCCGAGTCAGAACCAATGAGTCATATTCCTGCAGGTGTCCAGGTGATTCCTACATGTTTTCACCTCACAGACCTGCTGATAATCTGACCTGCAGAAAAAAAAAAAAGAAAAAAAAAAAAAAAAAACCCTTCCACTTGGCATGTGGTCAAGTACATTACTCAGCGGCGCCGCTCTGCCCCGACCGCCACCGTTCATCACTGGAAGAAATCATCTGAAAATATCACAATTGCTCCTCTCTACAGTCAGGATGAATTTCCAGGTAAATGAGGCTGCTAAGTGCAGAGCGTTAGTGCCACTTCTTCAGCCACCGACAGTTTAAGAAGAGAGGTTCGCAAAGAGGAACACGTCAGCAGGTCAGCGTCAGGGCAGCAGGTAGTTTCATTTTTTAACATTAAGTGTTTTTCAAACGCAATAATTTACCTCCCATGTCTCTTGTTGTAGGAGGAAATCATAAAGCATTAACAGACGGATGATCAAACGCCTTCTTGTAAACGGACTGTCAATGTGCTACAGCTGATTAATGCAAGGAAAATGTAAAAGCAGCTAATTGTTTCATTAACCAGCATTTATAATGCATGTAAAGGGTTTAGCATCACGGTTATGTGCTATAATGTGATGTAGTACATTTCAGCCATTTATGTTTTAATTTGAAAGGTTATTAGATAATGATGATGTATTTTATTATCAGTTGGCCTCGTTTTGTGCTTGACTTTCTCTTCAACCGAAACTGAGCTGTGACCCAGTTGCAGGGTGTTTAAACTGAGCTGTAATACACAATCACAGACAGTTTAAACTGAGCTGTAACACACAGTCGCAGGATGTTTAAACTGAGCTGTAACGCACAGTCGCAGGGTGTTTAAACTGAGCTAACGCACAGTCGCAGGGTGTTTAAACTGAGCTGTAGCGCACAGTCGCAGGATGTTTAAACTGAGCTGTAACGCACAGTCGCAGGGTGTTTAAACTGAGCTGTAACGCACAGTCGCAGGGTGTTCAAACTGAGCTAACGCACAGTCGCAGGGTGTTTGAACTGAGCTGTAGCGCACAGTCGCAGGGTGTTTAACTGAGCTGTAACGCACAGTCTCAGGGTGTTAAATTGACGATAATTCATGTTGGTTTAGCCGACAGCGTGTCATGTGGCAGTGCAGCTGAGAACACGACTGTTTCCATTCATTCAAGGACAAAATACACACAGTATCTGGTGAAAAGCATCATTCTGATGGAAAATAAACCCAGAAGAGGTCCTTGTCCTGGAGTCCTTGAACGCACTAATAGAGGCAGCTATAAAAACGCTCACTCTGGAAACACTGCAGCAAGTGGTGTTTTACACCTTCACCAGCATCCACACATACAGCTACAGACACGACAACATCTCCTCATTACGCTCTTTAGGTTTCCTTATAAATATATTACTGCTGCACATTACAGGTGTAATTAGCTGGGACACTGCCGGGTATTCAGAGCCTTCACTTTCAGCTCTCAGCAGCAGGACGTGCTCTGTTTGATCTGTAACTATTAGCCGACTGAAATAAAATTAATCTGCAACTATGTTGGTAATCCATTAATAATATGACATTCTTTAAGCAAAGACTCTGAAATGTGCTGCTTCTCTTGATCTTACATTAAAGTAATACGGTACTATTATTATGGATCAAACGATTGACATGTGGATAATAAAAAGAGAAAGGCAATAAGCACTCATGTGTCACATGTTTATCAGAAGCTGCAGCCTCAGAAACATGCTATAAAGATATTATTTGAACCAACTCTGACTGAAACTGATCAGCATATAATCAATACACTGTATTTGTTAATGAGTTTGATCTGTTGCTGAGAGCAGAAAATAAACGCCAGCTCTGTGTGCCAACAAGACACTGAGGAGGAGAGTTTGTACAAGTGTGTAAAGGACAACGTGCTGATTCAAATACTATACATTGTGTGTGTGTGTGTGTGTGTGTGTGTGTGTTGTGCTGAGTGGCCATTCATTACAAAATAGAGTGCACCTTCACGTGGAGCTGGAAAACGATGACACGCTAGTTTTCAGGCTTAGCCTCAGGGTTGGAGACAACCGTGTGTGTGTATGTGTAAATGACTGTGTGAGGTTTTGTGTGTGTGTGTGTGTGTGTGTGTGTGTGTGTGTGTGTGTGTGTGTGTGTGTGTGTGTGTGAAGGTGGGGGTGTTTAGTGTCACTTTCGCATGGGTTTGTGTACATGCTTGTTGACAGAGAGGAGGAGGAAGAGGAGGAGGAGACTGGGATAAAAAACAAAAAAGATGAGGACGGGAGGAAGATGAGGATATGATGATGAAGAGGAAATTAGCAGGAGAAGAAGAGGAGGATGAGGAGGCAGCAACAGGGAGAGGAGGAAGAGGAGGAGAAAAGATGAAGAGGAGTAAAATAATTGCTCAAGGTGTTTGAAAGATGATGAAAAGATAAAGGCGAAGATGAAGGAAAGAAAAGGAAAGAACAGGAGGAGAGGAAGAGGAGGCAGAGAGAAGAAAAAAGTAAAGATGCAGGAGAGTCAGGAAGGGGGAGAGAAGAAGAAACAAAAAGAAAGAGAAAGTATCACAGGAAAAACCCACATTCCTCTTAGACCGTGTGCGTGTGTGTTTCTGAGGCTGAGCGAGAGAGAGAGAGAAAGGGAGAGAGAGACAGAGAGAGACAGAGAGGATTTGCAGCTTATCAGATGACCTTATTGGCAGGGCTAAGGAGGTGCTGGAGACACAGGCGTGCACGCGCTTTCCTGCGTGCGCGCACACGACAATAGGTGCTGATATTGTCAACTGATCATTTCCAGTCACTTCTTTTACCTCCTGCTGCTGCTGAGCTTTTCTCTGCAGCCGCCTGTGTGTTTATGTAATTTATGAATATTCATGTAGCCAGACGGATAAAAGAAAAGAATGAAAGAGAGAGAGAACAGAAACATGGTATTGAATTTAAACCTATAATAAATACTGAAGGGATACTACAGGAATATTAGTAAAATATTGCACAAATAAAGCACAACAAACCCCTATAAAGAACCATAAGGCTGACTATTAAGGACCATAACTCATGACAAGCAATAAAAACATTAAAAATTAAAGCACAATCAATCTTACACCACTGCAGGAAGCATTACATATTCATAATGTGCAATAAATGGAACTATAAACTTACTGTAAAGCAGCAAATAACACATGATAACACAATAAGAACATACAGAGCTCCAGAGAGAGATAACTGTGAACATCACACTACAGAGATTTATCATGCGAGTGAAGCCGAATTTCTCTCTACACATTGTTCTGCTAAATTAACAATGAAGCAGTGGGAACAGTTAGTTTAAATGATAATTAGCAGTAATAAAGTCTACATTTGATTTTAATGTGAACTGACCTCTTGCTGGCCGGAAGCCCGAGCGCTCAGAGAAGGTGCCAAGTGAGAAGAGGGTGAACCAGAGCTGATGGAGAGCTTCTTTCTCCTTCTCTCGTATTTTCTCGCGTCATTTGTCTTCAAGATAAATGATAATTGAAATAAAATAACAACGAGCAGAAAGATAAAAAGTCAAAATAAGTCAAAATAAAAGCTCGGTTCCGGTCCCAGAAGTTTTCAGCGGTGACAGGTGCACCAACACGACGGAGCCGCGTCCGTCTCCGCTCCGGTCTGCCGGAGGACTGGAAAGGAGCAGCTGTGTTGGATGAGAGTGGGTGACGTCATGGAGAGGGCGGGACCACACTTGCACACACACGCCGTCCCCAACTGCAGTTGGCCTTGAAGGCTACTCAATGGCTTAATTAATTGATCAGTTCTTAATCATGTGATTAGATTATTGCAACCAAACAATTTATTACTCGTTACTCTCACGTGTTTTGTTATGAAGGGATACAACATGATAATTTATTTATTTATACTTATTAAATTATGTTCTTATGCTATGACACTTTGAGATAAGTTTTTTTTACACTCATAGCCTTACATATTTTTATTTCTTTATTTATATATTATCACATAGGTACATAGGTAAGTACATATTTTCATATTTTATGATTATATTTTATCTCTAACCTAATTTCCCCCTGGGATCAATAAAGCATTCCTATTCTAATTCTGATCATATATACCATTTTAGTAAAACAGGAAGATCTTCTGTTGAAGCAAATCATCATCATCATCATCATCATCATCATCATCATCATCATCATCATCATCAGACAGAAAATTAGGTAAAATGGGTTTCACATTACTCAATGTGCAATAAAGACATTTCATCAGCCTCTGCCTGTGCAGCCTCACTTCTTATCATTAGTCATACTTGTTGCAATTTGTTACCAATTATTATATTTCTTATATTTTGTCTGGTGTGGATAGTATTTGCAAGATAAAAAAAAAGAAAGTAGAATAAAGCTCTGAATGAGCAGAACTAATCCCAGTAAATCTGCATCCAGGGGCCTCGTGAGGCCGGAACAGCAGAAACAGTTTTTCTTCTCTCGCTTTATCTGGACTACATGGTCTACGAGATGATGATTCAGGCGCCACAGGTTGTTGTTGCCTTCATCCGATCCTCATTTCACACTCTCTCTCTCTCTCTCTCTCTCTCTCTCTCTAGAAGACTTTTATGTACAGATTTAAGGCGATATGATTATATACTAATTGGACACTGTCTGACGTCTTCCCACCTGCTCCATGACTTTCAGATTTCTTCTTCTATTTGTCAATATTCTATCATTTTTAATTAGGCGGCCTGCACTGACTGCATCATTAAATTCAGCTCTATCAGATTTACTTCTGTACATTACATCTCCATTACAGAAATAACTTACAACTGCAATGAAATGATTTTATCATTCTATTGTCACTAACTTCAATAAGATTGGACTTTACTTCCACAAACAATAAAAACAAACACAATAAACACAACAAACTTGCCTTTGGAGTCAGTACTGATCAACACTGTGTGTGGATTGTTCTCTGTAAATCTGTGTTGAACAGCCTCTATAAATTAAGTTGATTGGAGCTGAAGGGTAAATGGCTCGTGCAGCAGGACGCTCCTCCGCTAATGAGGCGCGGTTCATTGAGGGTTTGGTGATTAAAGGCTGTCAGTGAGTCGAAATCTCTCTGCGGCGGTCTGCAGTCGGCATGACACCATCAATAACAACAACAGAGAGGACGCTCCTCTGTCGCATGCAGGTAAAAAAAGACAAAAAAACGAGTGTGTGATATAGATTTATACTTTAGATGACAGCCACTCAATTTAAGCAACACTTTAAAAAAGGCTGCTTGAGAGTTCATATAATTGCTTTCCTCTGCAGCAGCTTCCATCAGTCTAATAGGCCTCCCTCTTTCATCTCATTGACAAAACCCAGATGATGCGTCCTAAAGCTGCTGTCAGAGCAGAGGCAGGAGTAGGTCTGGAGCTGACGTCTCCTAAAGACGACAAGAGGAGGAAAAACCCCGTCCTGAAATAATCAGCTGTTTGTGAAGACTGAAGACTGCTGAAACACAGGGAGGAGTTTTATTGAAGACCAGAACTGTTTAACATCCACATACACACATGATCTGCAGCTGCAACCTGTTATAATAATAGAATAGTCACAGTTCACATGCATGCTTTCTTTCATGTGAAATAAAAAGTCTTTTTGAAGATATGTGGATGCAGACAGCAGCAGCAGAGAGCACCATGTTTACAGCCAGCTGTCACCCTGTGAAGTCTTAAAGGTCGTGACCTCTGTTACTTTCTTTACACCGTGTGTTTGACAGAGACAAGTGTCTTTAAACTCTGAGGGCTGCAAACTATCTGCAGATCCCCCTCTCAGCTGACATGTTGTACATCCAACAAGTTCCTCCTGTCAAAGGTCAGGGCAGGTTATATGCAGCCTGATGGCAACAACTGGGAAAAAAGTTGAGGAGGACAAAAAGAGGATTTTGGTAAGTGAACGCCTCAGTATACTGAGGTAAATCAGACTAGTTGATTTTGGTTTGGGCAGATCTGAACACAGCAGGCGCAGATCCTTCAGGTGTAGACGTGAGCGCGCACGAACAAAATCTCAGAGCAGGTGTGTGGATTACAGCGCGACTGCAGCTGTGAAAGGAGGGAGTGAATCGTGGACAAAAACACAATCGGTTTGTTTACTTCCAGCTAATGATGAAGCCTGACGAGGACCAGGGTTCAGTCTGACTCAGTCTCCATCTTCCCCATCTTTGCAGAAGTGATGTTTGTTTTGTTCAGCTTCACTTCTCAGAGCCCCGCCCCCCCCCCTGGATTCTGCTCTCCCAGGTGCTTTTGGTTGGTTGATTTTGTTTTTGTTTTTAATATGTTTGAAACAGTCAAACTGTGGAAAAGATCCACAGATCAGATGAGCAGACAGGACTTCCTGTGTTCCTCAGACACATCTAAAAAAGGAGAGGAGTGACTGCTCTCACGTCTTCGAGTCACACAGGATAAACGGTAGAGATGTTAAGTTTAATGACCTGTGTGTTTACATCATCAAAGTGGTTGCATAATTACCGAATTGGTCATGTGAGGATTAAAATACTGTCAGTCATATCAGAGCTCGGACGCTGGTGTTTTCAATAACATATTCAAAAGGCCGTGACTTGTGTCTTTTGTGCATCTTTGGAGTCTTGATGCAATGAATTGTGGGAATTGCAGTGCATACTTTCGAACAGTCTTTCCTCAAAACTGTTCGTGGTTGCGTGTTCGAAATAAAAAGATGAACTGACCGCTGCACATCTGGCCAGCTGCTGCGTGATTACCACATTGTCTGTTTTTCAGCTTTACATTTGAAAAATGGCTGGCGTTGCATTCACTGACAATTTGTAACTCTGACCCATTAAATCCACCATCGCATTCAGAAGATCAAATCAAACAGTTGCCTGAGAGCGACGACCTCAAAGGCGTCGAGAGTCGACCGAGGCTCAAAGGAAACTTCACTTTGATCCGCTCCACGAAGGAACTGGACGACCAGAACGCGTTCAAAACAGAAAAGATACCACAAGCTGCACTGATGCCTTCCTGCTCCCCCCTCGGTCACGCCTGGGGGAGCTTTTAAAGGCTGCACCCACAGGTTCCTACCAGGCTGCTAATTAGACCGAGCGACAGCAGCTGGAGAGGCGAGAGGAGAAACTAAACACATCATCCTGATTCATCTCATAACAGTCATATGTTTATTTCTAAATTAAATATATCTTCCTTACTTACTTCCGTCACTTTTCCTACTTGAAGCTTTTTATTTGAATTTCAAAAGCCTTCACTTTTAGCCTTTAGTCTTTTATTCAGCCCATGCTTTTGTGTTGGACTCAAACATTTCAGTCACATCCCAAAAGCTGGAGGATTTAGGAAGCCGTCAAACATCTCTCTGCCTCCCTGTCCGTACAGAGTGAATGCTGCAGCAGCTTCACAGCAGTGAAAGCGATGGGATTTATCCCTCCGCATGCCTTCTCTCTCTGCACTGTCGGGGGGTGGGGGGTTGGGGTATGATGGATATCTGTGAGGCAAGTTATGAAGTGACTGGAGATCAGTGCAGGGGCTCTGATATCCATGCAGCAGGCCAGTGTCACCTTGGACCTGCACCTTTTAGAAAAAAAGGATTTCTCCCATTTTCAGCGTCTCCGGCTGAGATGGACATCGGCTAAATCAGTCAGGCTGAAGTTTTCATTTATTCCACATGATGAAAAGCCCGCTGCACTTCAGCAGACTGAACCTGAGCCATTCTCTGTTCAGCACTTTACTCCATTACATCTTTGTTTTTTGTATATTTCCTTCTCAAGCGTCTCTGAAAGTCTTAGTAGTCACAGATCCACTTGCTTTCTCAAGTAGTATTTGTAAAAAGTCAGTTCCGTTAAGCGTTCATTTGCAAAACGTTAATTAAACAATTAACAAAAAATAAATCACTTACTCAACTTGTGCTACATGTTCACTGAACGTCTCCACCAGGAAGAGATCGGATTATGTCCCATAAAGAGCTGAGGAGATTTTAATGTGTAACAGATGGTGTAACAGTTAAAAGCTGTTTTCAGTTTTCAAAAACATCTTGTGGTCCTCAGTGGATGGAGTTTTCAATTTATTGATTTTAAGTCATTCATCAAAAAAAAGTTTTCTGGTTCCAGCTTCTTTCAAATTCTCCTTCAAATGCATCCTTTGTTTCCTGGGCAACGAAAGGCTCCAACACGTGAATCCTTCATGGCCCAACCTATCCCAAGATTCATTGCAGTAATGAAAATAATATGTCAGCAATTAACACTGACCGAGAGCCTGAGGATCACAATGTTAAATGTCAGTAATGTGTTCCAGCTCAGTTCAACAGCTAACGGTACAACTGTTAAAACCAAGGGCCTTCAAACCTCAAGATTTTGTATTAAAAAGTTACATGTTGTCAAGGTTGCTAAGCGACAGGAGCTGGGCACAGCTGGTGATACAAATTGGAAATCCCCTGTCGGCCTGACCATC